AATTAGAGTTGTTCCTTATGTAGCGACATAAGGAAAGAAACCTCCCCTTGGAAAATGCATTCCCCAGGACAGTTTTCATGATATTCCTATCTATGGGGTTACCTCACAGATCAACCACTGCCCAGAGATGATGTGAAACATGATTATAAAAGAAAAAAAGCAAGAAATTCTATCATTTATGCACCTTGTAGGATGACATTAAAATAGTCCATTCTTCATGGCTAAAATATACAATTTTACAACTATGGAACATAATTATAAAGTAGAAAGTTTGAAAGAGTAGACAAAATAATTACCAGTAATGTCCTCATGCTAACAACACTATTAGCATATTGGCTTATTTATCTTCACGTTTAATTGTTTTCCCTGTATATATTCTTCTTACAATTTATTCAATCATCCAATAAATGTGTTTTGAGAGCCTAGTATGAGCCAAGCACATTGTTATGCACCAAAAATGCAAAATCAATTCATTGTGACAAATTTTTTCCACTATAAAGTTAAATCATGAGCCTCATTTTTGTAACCTTTTATTGTTATTAAAAACACATGCAGAAAAGTGTACAAATTCTAAGAATATGCTATAACAAATGATCACAAAGTAAACATATTTATGTAACTACACTCATATCAAAAAGTAGCATCTCGGGGCTAGCATTATGGCACTGCAGGTTAAGCTGCCGCCTGCAATGGGCTGGCATCCCATGTGGACACAGGTTCCAGATCAGCTGCTCTACTTCTGATCCAGCTCCCTGCTAATGCACCTAGGAAAGCACAGGGAATGGCCCAATTACTTAGACCCTTGCACCCACGTGGGAGACTGGGATGAAGCTTCTGGCTCCTGGCTTTGGCCTTGCCCAGGTCCTGGCCACTGTGGCCATTTGAGAAGTGAACCAGCAGACAGAAGACTCTATCTCTTTTTAAAATAAATAAAATAAATCTTTTTTTTTTTTTTTTTAAAGTAGCATCCCATATGGAGCAAACACCACTAGGGACGTCTGCAGCACCCCACATCAGAATGGCAATTTGAGTCCTGTCACGTACTTGGGCCCCTGCCACCCATACGGGAGACCTGGATGGAGTTCTTGGCTCCTGCCTTTGTCCTGGCCCAGACCTCACAGTTTCAGGCATTTGGCAAGTAAACAAGCAGACGGAAGATCTGTCTTCTTTTTATCTCTGTCATTCCACCTTTCAATTAAATAAATAAAACCTTAAAAAAAAAAAAAAAGTAGCAACCCAGAATTCTGCTTGCACTCCCTCCTGATTCCTTCCTGTATATTCCCCAAAGGTAAAAACTATTCCTACCTGTAACACCTTAGTTTTGCCAGTTTGTACCTGACTTTCACTTAATGTTCCTGTGTGTGAGGAACATCCATTCATTCATTTATTAGGCTCAACTCACTTGGCTTGTTTCCAGTTTTGGCTCCCAAAAATACTGTTATCAAGAACATCCCTGTAATTTACATTCACATGCATATCTTTTGCTGCACTTATTCCACATCTAAGAATAGGGCTGTTAAACCACAGGCAATGGCTATGTTCAGCTTAAGCAGCCACAGCTGAAGCAGTGCTCCACGGTGGATTATTAGCTGCAGCACAAGAGTTCCCGCAGCCCCACAGTCTCTCTGGCACTTGTTATTGTCGATCATGTTGAGTGTAGCAGCTCGATGGCCTAAGCGGTAGTACCTCGCTGTTGTTTTAACTTGTATTTCTCTAACGACTACTGAGGTTTCAGGTTTTATTGGTCATTTGGAAATCTTTTGTGAAGTACTCACCCATTTGAATTTCTTATTAGTTATCCAACTGGGCTGTCTATATTTCTATTATTGATTTGCAGTGCTTTTTCTAAAAGCCCCTTCCTTGTAAGCTACAGGTTTGATTTTTGTATTTTTTTAAGATTTATTTGAGAGGCAGAGATACAGACAGAGAGAGAGGGAGAGACAGAGTTCCTCCATTCACTGGTTCACTCCCCAAATGGTTGCAACAGCTGGAGCTGGGCCAATCCGAAGCCAGGAGCCAGGAGCTTCCTCTGGGTCCCCCATGCAGGTACAGGGGCCCAAGCACTTGGGCCATCCTCCACCACTTTCACTTTCCCAGGCCACCAACAGGGAGCTGGAGAGTAAGAGGAGCAGCCAGGACAGGAACCGGCACCCATATGGGATGGCAGCACTGCAGGCAGAGGCTTAGCCTCCTACGTCACAGTGCTGGCCCCAGGAGGTTTCCTTCTTGACTGTAACAACAGTGACTTCTTTGATCAAAATTCAAGTTAATTTCTTTTTAAAGATTTATTTATTAATTTGAAAGTCAGAGTTACACAGAGAGGAGAGGCAGAGAGAGAGAGAGAGAGAGAGAGATCTTCCATCGGCTGGTTCACTCCTCAAGTGGCCGCAATGGCAGGAGCTTCTTCCAGGTCTCCCATGTGGGTGCAGGGGCCCAAGGATCTGGGCCATCCTCCACTGTTTTCTCAGGCCATAGCAGGGAGCTGGATTGGAAGTGGAATAGCGGGGTCTCGAACCAGAACCTGGGATGCCAGCACTGCAGGAGGAGGCTTCACCCACCACGCTGCAGCACTGGCCCCTAAGTTAATGTTAACGTACAATAATTTATCAGTCTTTTATAATTCTCTGAGATCTTGAAGATATTCTCTCATATTCTAGAAATTCTATTATTTCATCTTTCATATTTAGATATGTCATCTACTGAAAATAAATATATATGTATAGTGTAAAACAGAGTCAAATTTTTTTCTTTTTTTCTCATATGGACACTTTTTCAGAATCTCCACAGTTTATATACATTGCTCTCTTACTTATAAGCTTTCTGCTACGAGGATGAGTCATAGACAAATGTACATGTTCGCTCGGAGGAAAATAATAGATATGGTGCTTGCACACAGTAGGCATTCAAGATGTTTGTTGAATGAATGAAAGACATTTATTTGGAGGTACTGATTTCATACTATAACCTCTAGAGAAAACTATAGGCCTGTTTGCCTCTTTTTTCATTTATCGGTAAAGGGGAATGCTAACAGAAGTCAGAAAATTAGAATTCTTACAGGATACACAGTATAACCACCACGGTCAAGGCTCTCTTCTTCCCTTGTGCATTTTATTTTCTTTCATACAGACAGTAGATAAAGACCAGGCCTAATGGCAATCCTCATTCCTAGAAGGTTCAGAAAGCTGGAGTGAAGACCAGGGGAAGAAAACAGAGTGGGAAGCTCAGCAGTCATCACCATCTCAATACCAGTTATGCAGAGAAAAGGGTGAAAAGAATTTGAGAGACTTGTCTGTCATCCAGTTCAAGCAGGCACTCAGAGCAGAAGCCTTAGCTAGGTAGAAAGAGAATGCACTCGCTTAAGTTTCCCATCTTAAAATTACAGTGGCCAGAAAAGAGCCAGGCAGGTTCTCATAAGCACAAATCCCTGCCTTCTTTTACAGAACTAAAAACACACCCTAGGGATATTTTAGTTCAATCCTATCATTTCACAAGAAAAAACTGCGGAGCACCTAACAATGCAAGGAAGCATAACCTCCAGTTCCAGTTATCTATTGCTGCGTAACAAATCACCTAAACACCCAGTGACATCAAGTGGCAGCAGACATTAATGATCTCTCTCTCCGGGTTCTGAGGCCGACTGGACTCAGCAAGGTTCTCACTCAGAGTCCCTCATGCACTTGCAGCCAGTTAGCAGTTGGGGCAGGCATCACCAGGAAGGCTTCTTCATGGCCGTCTGGGGGCGGGGCCTCAGCTGGGCATTCGGCCCCATCATGACTCATGACCTGTGCTTCTGGCCTGGCCTTCCTCACAGAACGGCAACTGGATTCCAAAAGCAAGCGTCCCCCAAAAGAACCAGCCAACCTCTCAAGTCCCAAAGTGCCAAGCAGACTGCGGTCACAGGCCCACCCAGACTCATGGACACAAAGGGAGGAGAATCAGCACTACACTGTAAGATGAGAAAATGAAGACCATTTGGGAACACACACTAGGCCGCCGATACTCTTCCTACACAATTCCATGGCCTCTCCTTGAATACCTGCATCACAACACTGCTTCACAATGCAAAACTGTCTGCCTCTTTGCCACCCTTATCTTCCACTGCAGTGACCCTTCTCCTTTCTAGAAGTAGTAGCTGGATCATTACTGTGATCTTTGTATTTCTGGCACTAAGAAAAGGCTCAAAAAAATAGTTGTTGAATCAATGAATAAACAAATGAAATTCAGCCTTAAAGTCAGAAATATTTTCAAATATTTCCAAAGTAACTATAGAAGTTCCTCTATCTAAATCTTAACCTGGGCCAATTTAAATGGCTTTCACAACTATTATAAATTTAAAGTTTCACTAATAATATGCCCTCACATTTGATTAATTTATTTTTATGAGGGCTAATCCAAACATTGTGTCAGCAACACAGCAGACTCATCCTACTATATATATATTCAGAGTAGCACACGTATTTATTTTTCTGCCTCAAAATTGGTGGGACAGTTTATGACACACATCCTTAAAAGGAAATTTATGTATAACACTACTGTTACTAAGTATGCCAAAAGTAACAGTTTAAAACCACTCCAAGAACTTAGATGACTTAAGTGCAAACATACAATTTGAAAGTATTTTTATTCATAAATTATATATTTCTGCATCATGCTACTGGATATAGTCCTTCAAACCTAAATTACCACTTTGCAATCAACTTATTTTCTTTTTCTTGTCAGCAAATATAACCAAAATGAAATAAAATGATACAATTCAAAACTCACAAGTCAGTAAAGCTATTCCTTGGCCTGAACAAGGGACACACACATTTGACACCCTGAGTGCTTCTGTTTAGAGGATTGTGCCTTGCAGTATACCACCTGTAATAATTTCACTGCTGCACCAAACACACGCAGCAGCCCTCGGTGGGTGGAGACTTTGTGTATGATTGTGCTCTCCTGGGCCCCTCGTTAATCAGGTGCCTCAAAAACCAGCACTGATGCCCAGCAGCAACACTCACCAATCAGCACCTGCCCACTCTTCATAGCAGCTCCTCCTGGCAGCAGGCCGTGGACCACGAGTCTCTCTCCCTGGCTCTGCTTTCCAGCCCTTTTCCAGCTCCATTTGGTCTGATGGATAATGCCAACCAGCACTTCCAGGAGCTTGAGCTGCTCTTTGGCTTTCATGACAGTTAGCTTTTTGGGGTTTACATAAACATTCACATCTTTGTACCGTTGCTGGACAACGACTCCTGTCTTCTGATGTGACTGATGCTTTAGAATGGACACTGGCCCATTGTCTGTGCTATTTTTTTTATTGTGGCGCTTGGGCAAAAGCCTTTTGCTTTTTAAAATTTTCGTAAACCGCTTGAGTTTGGGTTCATACTTTTTTCTTTCTTTGTAATCATCCTCTTCAATGATAATCTCATGGTCACTGAACCTCACGTGGTTCACAGTCGGCGACTCAGGCAGGAGGGTTTCCTCTTCGTCCTCACTCAATTCCAAGTAAAACAGCTCCCCATTCTTCTGCACGCTGTCAAGCCACTCAGGTTCAAGATCACTATGAGAAAAGACAAGACAATGTGAACAGCTGCGAGCCCAAGATAAACAGTTACATCCTCCCCACAGTGTGGTGAGAGGGGAGTAGAGGGGGAAGGGGGGCTGCAAGGGGTGAAGCCTCTTTGATTATTTCAAATTCTTACTATTTCTAATCTATTGTATCAACATGTTTTCCTATAGGATGCTTTTTGTAGAGTCTTGAAGAACAAAACTCAGGGAAAGGGAATTAAAGAGGCATAGTAGCAGGAAAAAAATCATTTTTTAAAAAAGCAGATGGTCTTTTTCTAGATTGTATGGGGTTTTTAAAAATTAATTCAGTCAACTATGCAGTTTTTACTCCCTTTAGATGATTTCGCCAGACAGTATTTGCACTGGCAGTTGGCTATGCAATTATACGCACAGAAGCAAGCCACTCGGGACATATATATGAAAACACTCTACTGGCACAGCATTATTCAGCATGGTCATCAGGTAAAAGAAAGGCTAAAACCTACCCACATTCACAGACCTGCTTATGTACTACATTTCAAGGAGACATTCATCTCACCATGAACTAAAATCTTACTGAAAACAACCCATTTGTAATCACAGCCAATAACGATCGCTTTTAGAGTCTGTAATTTCCATAAAACTCCTTTTCATGAGTAACTAGTAGGAAAAGTTAAGCACATATTACATAATTTGTCACATGATTGTTTAAAAAACATTTTAATGGGAAGTAGGCCATTAAAAAACAAAATTATTGCTATTAAAATAGCACTAAGAAACAAAGATACTCATCTTATGGAAACAAACCTAATCATAAACTCTACCCTATTCAAAATTGTGAACAGTTTACCTTTCAAACAGCTTTTCTTTAAAGCAAAATTAGTTTCCGTGGAAAAACTAACACGTGGGCAGAGGTTTTCAGAAACAAGCTGTAATATCCTGGCTTGAAAAGGTATAATTTGTGTTCTGATCATTCAGAGAGAAGACACTTCTGTTTTCCACCGTGTTTATTAGCAACTCTGGTTCTTTTTAACTTAAGTCAAATGTCTCTTTCTAAGTGAAAATTAGCCCCAAAAATGTTCTCTTCTATTACTAAACTCTGAAATTAACCATTGCTCTGGTCTGTGGCTGGTCATTCATATAAAATTTCCAACTGTATAGTGAGTCACTGAAGAAAAAAAAAAAGGCAAGATGGCTGGCTCAAAATATCAAAAACAGTATTTCTTCCATCTTTGCTGGTCTCCAGTGTACGGCATCATTATAGGCCCTTGGCCCCATTTACCACAGATTATTAATTATACAATGGCTGTGTCAGCCACCCCAACCTGTATCCCCAGAAATCAGTACAGAGTAACTTTGCAGTTCTGCTTTGGAGAGTCTAGAGAATGGTGGCCCCACCAAAAACATCAAGATAACAAATTGCCCAATTTTCATCAGTACAGAGTAATTACCATGGTTATATACCAGTTACTTAAGATACGTATCAATTTAAACAGTGAATTAAGTTTCTCCTTGATAGTTCCTCCCTTCTAATTTGGTATGCTATTTGATTAGAGATATGTGAGACCAAAGAAATATCTTTTTCCATTTGTGGAACATAAAGAAGATTCATTGTAATCTCTCAAATTTGAATGTGAACCCACTTTTTGGTTTAATTCAAAGAGCCGAGCCGGTGGGGGGCTATGGGGGAAAGCATTCAAACATGGAGCAAATAAGCAGTGCCAGGCACTGATCTACATATTAGAATTACAATGACAAAAAACATTAGCTCTGGCCCTTGCTCAGTGGGGAAGAGAAACAGTACCCAGGGTAAGTACAGACGAAGGGACACAGGGAGAGGCCCCTAGCTCAGTCTAGCCGGAGACTGCAGGGAAGATCAGGGAAGGCTTTCGGGTGGAGGAGACTCTAGAATAATAAATGGTCAGGGAGAGGCATGGGGAGCTGCAGAGAAAGAGAAGAGAATTCCAAACAGAAGTAACACATTAGCAAAGGCTTGAGGGGTAGTCTCCCTGGAGTATGCACAGATCACGACAGATGCAAGCGGCAGAGGACTGTGGAAGGTGGGAACTCATGGAAGTGGTCAGCTCTCCTGTTGCAAGGCTTTTTGTTCTACAGTGAGGGGTTTGGATTAGTTTAAGCAAGAGGGCCTCCATGAAGGGCTTCAGCAGAGATTTCCACGTCAGATATCCCTGGACAGATCTACTCTGGCAAGAAAAGGGAAGTAGATGTGAGGTGCACATGAGTCAAGGCAGGAGTACTTAGAGGCTGCTTCGGTAGTGGAGGCAAGGATGATAACCAAGGGAATAGAGCAGAAGAGATGGAAAGTAGGAAAAAGTATTCGCAAATCACCAGGACATTGTGACTGATTCGGTGAGGAGATGAGAGAGAGGAAGGGATTAATGTTGACTACACTTCTAGTTGGTGACTATACTTTCATGCATCTTTTTATACACTCATATGCAAAGACTCATTCCACTAAGTGGGAATAACCATTGTAAAATTTTTCCTTCTCCCTCTGACATACACAGTGTTGAAAATTCATGTTTTTCCCATCATAAAAATTTACATTTATGGGGTTATTCTATCACTTGTTTGAAAAAAAAGTGATCATTACATATTTACCAATATAAAGATATATACTCATATTACTTTAATAATTTCTCATATATTGGTAGTTTTAAAAACCTCAATGGATCCATAATATTCCATATCAAAGATGTGGCACATTCAGCACATTCACTTATCTATTGCTAAATGTGGTGTACAGTTTTCATTTTTGTACTCCCCATACAAAGTTATAGTAACCAACTTTATATCTCTGTGTATATACAGGTCTTTACCCAAAAGACTATACCAATTCATATTTCACCAGCAATATAACAGATCTATTAATGTAAATACTTCACTTTAAGAGAAAGAAATTAAAAAAAAAAAAAAGGAAGCTAAGAGAGATAGATACAAAGACAGGGAGGGACCAGTGTTGTGCAGCCAACACATAAAGCCTCTGCCTTGAATGCTGGCATCCCATATAAGTCCCAGTTCAAGTCCTGGCTGTTCTGCTTCTGATCCAGCTCCCTGCTAATGCACCTAGGGAAGCTGTAGAAGCTGGCCCAAGTACTTGGGCCCCTGCTCTCACATAGGAAACCAGGATGGAGTTCCAGGCTCCTAGCTTATGCTTGGCCAGCCCCAGCTGTTACAGCCATTTGAGGAGTAAACCAGAAGATGGAAGATCTCTCTCCTTCTGTCTCTACAATCTCTCTCTCTGTTTCTTTTTCTCTGTCCCCCCTTTCAAGTAAATAAATAAATGTTTTTTGGGGCTGCTGCTGTGGTGCAGTGGGTTAAAGCCCTGGCCTGAAGCGCCGGCATCCCATACGGGCACCGGTTCCAGTCCCAGCTGCTCCTCTTCCAGTCCAGCTCTCTGCTATGGCCTGGGAAAGCAGTAGAAGATGGCCCATATCCTTGGGCCCCTATACCCACGTGGGAGACCTGGAAGAAGCTCCTGGCTCCTGGCTTCGGATCAGCACAGCTCTGGCCGTTGCGGCCATCTGGGGAGTGAACCAGCGGATGGGAGACCTATCTATCTGTCTCTAGCTCTCTCTGTACCTTTCTCTCTGTCTCTACCTCTCTCTGTAACTCTGTCTTTCAAGTAAATAAAATAAATCTTTAAAAAAATGTTTTTTAAAAAGATACAAAGACAGGAAAACAGATATAACTGGGCCCATAGGAGAAGGCAAATGTACAGTGAAAAGAAATGGACTGAGAAACCACAATGAGCTGAGATCCAATTTGGTTTTACTGCAACTCTAACCCTGCTAAGATTGATTATGTAATTGAGTCCAAGCTTTAGTTCTGCTCTTCTTGAAAACAGTTAACAGCTACATCACAGGGTTGCTATAAATAGCAAATAAAACAATGTTATGCCTTGCTTGGTAAATGCATAATAAACAGTAGTTCCCTTCCTCTTACCTAATAGATATGAAACTGGAAACACAGACCTTTACCAGATATAGCTTTTTTATGTCTTTTTTTCTTTCTCGACAGGCAGAGTGGACAATGAGAGAGACAGAGAGAAAGGTCTTCCTTTGCAGTTGGTTCACCCTACAATGGCCGCCACGGCTGGCGCACCGCACCTATCCGAAGGCAGGAGCCAGGTGCTTTTCCTGGTCTCCCATGGGGTGCAGGGCCCAAGCACTTGGGCCATCCTCCACTGCACTCCCTGGCCACAGCAGAGAGCTGGCCTAAAAGAGGGGCAACCGGGACAGAATCCGGCGGCCCGACCGGGACTAGAACCCGGTGTGCCGGCGCCGCAAGGCGGAGGATTAGCCTAGTGAGCCGCGGCGCCGGCCCAGATACAGCTTTTGTGCTTCTGCATTTGTTCCTAATCCTTGGCATTAACTGAAGATGCTCTAAGGACCTCAGTTTGCCAGGTTCCAGGCTAGATGCAGAGACACAAGAAGCAAAACCAGTCACTGCCTTTAAGGCTCCTACAATGTAGCATTCCGGGAAAATTCCTCATTCCTCCTCCAGATTAAATCCTAGTTAAGACGTCTTATTCCACTGTGTGCTGTGCTAACAAAATACCTGAGACCAGGTACTTTGTAAGGAAAAGAGGCTTAGTTTGGCTCATGGCGTTGAGGCTGGAAAGTCTTAACTTGGGTGGCCACGTCTGGGGGCGGGGGGCGGAGGGAGGCATGCTTCATCACAGTACTGCATGGCAGATGACATCACGTGACAGTAGCTGGCATGACAGAGGGAGCAGTGCATACAGAAGTAGCACATCAAAGAGTAAGAGATGGAGGGGTGGAGCCCGGCTTCATAAAAACCTGCTCTTGTGGCAACCAATCTGGTCTTGAGAGAGTGAGAACTCAATCTTGTTTGCAAAGCATTAACCCCTTAGTGATGTAATCAACTCTTAAAAGGCCCAACACCATTCAACACTGTTAAACAGGGGACTGAGCCTCAATATGCATTTGGTGGTGGAGCCCAAATTCAAGCGATAGTGTTAGATAAGCA